TATTTTTAATGTTGCCTTCCCAAGATCAGTCCCAGAATTTAGCAAAATGTAATTGCTAATGTGTTTTTACAAGTCAGACCATCTTTGATGCTTCCTAGATGGCTAAAATACTAAAGGCTTCGTATATTTTTGTCTCTCACCTTATAACACGTAGTGTCATTCACAAGCAGGAAGGATGCTAGAATTAATTAGGTATGTTTTATAAGCTCCAAATTTCTTAGTTGGCTTAATGATGTCACAGAATTGAATTATGTGTTAAGCCCACAAAATGGGACAAGGTATTCAATCAGAAAAACAAGTTCTGGGGCCGTCCCCATGGCTCACTCGGGAGAGTGAGGTGCTGATAACACCAAGGCCACGGGTTCGGATCCTATATAGGGATGGCTGGTTTGCTCACTGGGTGAGCGTGGTGCTGACAACACCAAGTCAAGGGTTATGATCCCCTTACCGGTCATCTTTTTGAAAAAAAAAAAAGAAAGAAAAACAAGTTCTACCTTGCCTGTGTTATTTTTTAAAGTGGATTTGAGGGCCGGCCCGTGACTCACTTGGGAGAGTGTGGTGCTGATAACACCACGGCCATGGGTTTGGATACCTATGTAGGGATGGCCGGTTCGCTCACTGGCTGAGAGTGGGGCTGACAACACCAAGTCAAACATATTTCATTGTTTTTTTCCACACTCATTATTTGTAGGTATTATAAACCAAGGAAAACAATGTTTTCTTTTTCTTAAGCTTCTTTAACTTCCCCATTCAAATTTTGTCTGTTAGTAGTCTTTCACATTCTGGCAGTTATTTTTATTCCAGACAAAATTACTTACTTTTCCCCTTGATAACCATAATAATAATCATACATGCGCATTCATATTTCTTTGCTTCTTCACTTCAATTCTTAGTAGAGTCTTAATGACCCATACAAATCACAACTTTTTTTTTTTTTTTTTAAAGATGACCGGTAAGGGGATCTTAACCCTTGACTTGGTGTTGTCAGCACCACGCTCAGCCAGCGAGCTAACCGGCCATCCCTATATGGGATCCGAACCCGGGGCCTTGGTGTTATCAGCACCGCACTCTCCCAAGTGAGCCACGGGCCGGCCCAAATCACAACTTTTAATCAATGTAACTACCTTCTATTTCCTCACAGAGATAACTGTAGGCAAGTAAGTATGGTTTGAAATATACAAACAGTTAGCAGGCCAGCAAAGGTCAAAAACAATCATTAAAGAACCTTCTGTGGCTACACATCTCTTTTACATTTCTTCAAGTGGTTAAATAGAACCTATACATAAATATAACCCAAAGGTTTATCCACTCTCAAACAAGATAAGAGACATGGGACTGGCAGGTTTGCTCAGTTGGTTAGAGCACAGTGTTATAAAAATGAGGCAAAGTTGTGTGTGCATGTGTGTGTATATACTGTGCTTGGTGACTAGTGTTTTTACACTCTACCTTCCTTAGAAATTACCCAGGTAGCTAAAGATTATTCCCCAATTTACTTGATTCAATATCAGTATAAATTCTCAAAGTTAAAGACCGTGGAAATTATATTTAATCTGGTATATTACAGAGTAACATAATCATTGATGATATAAACAATTTAGGAAATTCAAATTAACTACAATCTCCATGATAACGCACTCTCCATCACTCTATCATATCATCTTGTTTTATGTTCTCCATGTTTTCGCAAACTGATTAACATCTTGCTTATCTATTTGTTTACTTAGTTATTGTGAATACTTTCCCACTGGATGTAAGCACAATAAATAAAGATAATTTTTCTTCCTTTGTGCCCAGAACATGTAGTAGATATTCAATGAGGATTTTTTTTTTTTTTAAAGATAACCGGTAAGGGGATCTTAACCCTTGACTTGGTGTTGTCAGCACCACGCTCTCCCAAGTGAGCTAACCAGCCATCCCTATATAGGTATCCAAACCCACAGCCTTGGTGTTATCAGCACCACACTCTCCCAAGTGAGCCACAGGCCGGCCCTTCAATGAATAGCTTTGAATGAAGGAATACATGAATGTAATCTTTACTCATAATAATTGTATCAGACAGGAGGAATGGGTCTCATTTTACTATTTACAAGTGAGGAACTGAGGTGTTAATGATCCATAGACTCCCAATTTTGGTTTCCTGATTTCCAATCCAATATACCACATTATTCCTACAACTAAATAAATATACTTGTACAAGTGAAAAATGAAAGAAAGAGTTTTATTTAGGTATGATTCATAGAAATGGTATCTGGATTGGATATTAGTGGGGACCCCTTTAGACAGTGTTTTGATAGAAGCCAATGTCATTGATCCACAACTTCTATCCAGATTCCCCCCACTGTCAGGGGTCACCAAGTGAGTATTACTTATTTCTTTGCACTCCTGATGCTTTCCCTTTGGAATACTTGTAACTGAGGATCAAACAAGTGGAATGTGGGTTATTCCCTGGCTTTTTCTTTTTTTTTAAAAAAAAAGATGACCGGTAAAGGGATCCTAACCCTTGACTTGGTGTTGTCACCACCACGCTCTTCCAAGGGATCCAACTGGCTGTCCCTACATAGGGATCTGAACCCGTGGCCTTGGTGTTATCAGCACCACATTCTCCCAAGTGAGCCACGGGCCAGCCCTCCTGTTTTTTTCTGTATCAAAAACTTGTTGCTGAAATTGGCTGGTTTTTTTTCCCCCCTCTTACACCGCAATACTGTATCTATTACTCTTCCCTTCTTAGCAAAATCAGTGCAGCTGAGGCAGTAGACGTAATGAGGTACACTTCCCATAGGGTATTTAAACTTTCTTTTTTGGCTTGCTTTTTGGGTCTTAGGGCAAATTGATATTAAAGAGAAACTGATTGTATTAGTCCATTTCTGTTGTTTATAACAAAATACCTGAAACTGGATAATTTATAAAGAAAATGAAATGTATTGCTTACAGTTTTTGAGGCGGGGAAGTCCGAAGTCCACCTGGTGGTGGTGACAGTGACCCAGGGGTCTCACATTGCAAGATGATAGAGCAGAGAGAGAGAAAGACAGACTCTCCTCTTCTTTTAAAGCCCTCAGAACCATGCCCCTGACCACCATCCTTAATCCATTCACTGCTGTGCAGTCCCACAATCTAATCACCTCTTCAAGGCTCCACCATTCAATTACCATAGTAGGATTTCCCACCCTCCCAACAGTCACAGTGGGGGCCAAGCTTCTAATACATTAAACTCGTACACAATTCAAACTTCAGGAGTTTTGAGGGGACATAATTCAATCCACTACACTGATACATTGCTAAGTGTGAAAGGCAGACTAAGCATTGCTGATACTGGTTCCAGTTCTGGGCCTCTGCATTGTCTCAGAAGGGAGTCAATGTTCATGTCAAGGCACATGGAGTTACCGGTTGTCCACCCAAAGAAACCCCTTGTCCCCATCTACTAACCAGGGAACATTTTGTATTAAATTAAGGTGGTCCTTTTATAACTTTCTTTTTTCCTGTTAAATGAAAGCTTTGTATTAAACTATTCAGAATTGGGTTGTACAGTACTTGCTTTTAGGATCCCACACTTTTGATTAAAACATGTTGTTGGGTGACAATCCTTAAGAATTTTTGTCACATCATTTCCCTTGTCAGTCTCCTGCATCCTCATTGTCCTCCCTCTAAATAAAAAACTGACCTGGTGATGGTGATATGTGTCATTTCTGCTGACCTCATCCCTGAATCAGAGGAAACAGTAGGAGGTCAGTGCAGGGCCTACACCTTATCAAATTTGGGCCTGGGTAAGGCAGTACGGTTCTTATTATATTCATTGGGTAAAGGAAGAAACTGAAACACAACTAGGCTCCCAGACTCCTCAAGGTTCCACTGATAGTCAAGGGCTGCACACCTTTTTTCAGAGGAGTAAGATTGAAGAAAACTCTACTGCTGAATTAAAACGTGTGAGTGCCAAGATGGGAGAGAGTCTCCCCTCACTCCATGGCACACAGAGGGACAGGAGATTGCAGAGTTGGCGTCCTGTGTGGAAGCTGGGCTATCCACACATAGGACGGTTGGGAAGCCTTTCAGACACTGAATTCTAGTGAGCCGTTGATCACCTTGGACTGGGTTCATTGTTATCACAAAATAGACAGGATGCTCAAAGGCACGTTAGTGCAGGCAAGCAACCTGCTTCACAATGGTCCTCTAAATCAGTCCTCAGAACGAGCTGGGAGACAGGCGTTACTATTCTTACTTGACAGAGAATGAAACAGAGAGGCAAAGCCTACAATCAGGACATTGCAAAGCAGGCACTCTTGACTTCTGGCTCCTCTATCCAAACCCACTTGTTAGACCTTCCCGTGTCTAGATTATAGCTAGAAGGTATCTTGGAGGACACATTTTAGGCCAGCTCTCTCGGTTTACAGCACAGAAGCTGGGAGACAGGCGTTACTATTCTTACTTGACAGAGAATGAAACAGAGAGGCAAAGCCTACCATCAGGACATTGCAAAGCAGGCACTCTTGACTTCTGGCTCCTCTATCCAAACCCACTTGTTAGACCTTCCCGTGTCTAGACTATAGCTAGAAGGTATCTTGGAGGACACATTTTAGGCCAGCTCTCTCGGTTTACAGCACAGAAGACGGAGACCCCCGAAAAGCGAAGTGATTTGTTTAAGGCTACAGGGCGAGTGTGTGGCAAGGCGGCGAGGGGAACCCGAGACTCCTCCGTCCTTGCGGGTTCCTTTCCACCGCATCTCGCTGGGGACGCTGGGGGTGGGGCTGGGCAGGGTTTGCCCGGGGCCAGGGGCCCGGGCTTTCCGGGGGCGGTCCCTAGCGGCCGCGCATTCCAGAGCCACCGGAGCGTGGGGCGTCGGGTGCCGAGCCACAAGTCCTGGCCGCTCCTGCGCGCTCCCGCCTCCCCAGGGCTCAGAGGAGCCGGGGCACTTTCGGGGCTGGGGCTGCCATTCCAGAGCTGGGGGTCGCTTCCGGCTGCCGCGTCCTGTGCGGTCCTGCAGACCCAGAGAAGCGCCGAGCCGTCCCTGCCCTGGGAACTTCCCGCAGATCCGCCGCGATCTGGCTGCGCCGGGGGCCGCAGGGTTTAAAAGCAGCTGTGCGGAGCCGGGGTGAGTGGGGCCATGGGGTGTAGTTTGTGGGGCCGGCTGAGCGGAGCTGTTTGGACCCAGCTCTCCTGCTGCCCCTACCCCAGCGCCCTCTTCATGCCCTCTCCTCCTTCATTTCTCCCCTTCATCACTTCTGCATTTCTCTCCCCACCCCTCTTCCCTTTTCTCCCGCTCTCGGCCCCGAAGTCCTAGCCACCTTCTGCGCACAATCTTGGGCCTCTGGGGAGGCCGGAGCTTGCGTGGGAGCCCCAGTCTCACTGGGAGCTGGGCTTCTCCCCGGGTTTCCCTGCTCCTGCCGTCTCGGGAAACGCGACCCCTCCTCGAGCAGGCTCTGCCGCCTCTTGGCTCTCCAGGCTGGGCGTCAGGGCTCAGCTCCCGGGCCCGAGCATCCGCGTGGACGCTGCTCTGGGTTTGGGTCTTTGCACCACGCAGAACAGTGGATTATCTGTCCCGCTTTTCTCAGAGCCCCGCGTAGGAGGCGCCAGGAGTTTGGAGCCAGGACTGATGGGTTCCAGCCCTGTTTCTGCCTCTAGCTGCTTCACCATCCCCGCTCTGAGCCTTGTTCCTCCAGCTGTGAAATGGGGAAGACATCCTTTGCTTACAGAAAGCAAATGGGAAAGGGGGTGTGAAAAGTATCTTGGAGAGAAGGCTTCCTTCCAAGCTCCTATTTGCCCCTTTATTTAGGACTTAGTTGTTCCAATTGCCGGTTCTTTCGCATCCTTTCCCCCCTCCTTGAGGGTAGGGACTGCCTGTCCTCAGCTCTGAGGCATCCTCAGCACTTGGGACAGGGCCTGGCAAATAGTAGGTGCTCGATACATGCATACTGAGTGAAAGTAAGAAAGGAAGGTGTAAACCATAAAAACTTGTGCATACCTCAGGGGATTGAGTGGCCAGGCGGGGCGCTTATTCATGTAGCTCCACTAGTTCCTTTCTGACTTAGCACGAATCATGCTGACACCTGGGAGCTGATGATTCTCCCATTCACCTATGGTCGGTGAATACCAAACTCCTCAAAGTTCCAGGCTTTAGCCATGAAAGCTGCTCACTCATTCAAGGATCAGAGATTACCTGAACATCTGCTATGATCTGTGGCAGTGGGTAAACAGGAAGGATTATGAATGCCTGAATGGGGTGCGGGTGGGGGTCTGGAAACCTCTGAGTTACCTTGACTGAGACATTTCCCCTCTCTGGACCTCACCTTCCTCATCTGTAAATTGAAGAAGTGGGAGTGGAACAGAGGCGTGTTTGTTTGTGGTTGAGCATAGTGTGCTCTTTGGGTTATGTAAGCCACTCAGGAAGCCTCAAACACACACAAGACAGCCCAGCAGAGCTTTGGGACATCACATACTTCTGCAGTGACAGCCAAACAAGCCAAGAAGTGTTTCTCTGTTCAGGCATGGACCTCCTGTGTCCAGCTGCCTGGATTATGAATCATGCTGTGGCGTTTACAAGTCATGCTCCATAAGTCTCCCACACGCTGACCTCTCGGGACGTCAGAACTGTGGCCTTGTTGCACAAAAGGTCTGGGGATACTCCTTCTCTGGCACAGCCAGAGAACCACTGAGCTGTGGTGAAGTGTTAGAGACAAAAAAACAAATTAGAGACCTTGGGTGCCTGCCATTGGGTCGATACTGGGCCCTTGGGGGGTGACAAACCAAGGGGGTAAAAGGGGAGGTCACAACCTTAAATGTTTTCCTAGCCGTATTCTGATCCTTCTCTAAAAGCGTGCTTCTTTTTCTACTCCATGGATTAAAACATTCAAAAGAAGGAAATATCTCCAAGAAAAAGGATCTTTATCTTGGTTGGTCTTACACTGCTGCTATTGGCAGTGTATCAAAGGCACATGTACTCACACCCACAGTTTATAAGAATAAATGTTGGCATTACCACACCCTGCAGCTGCCCCCTGCCCTGACTGGCCAAGTAAGCTGAATGATGTAATAATAATTGTCCTCAACATTTACTGCATGCTTACTATAAGCCAAGCATTATTCTAAGCATTTTACATGTATTAATTCATTTAGTCTTTACAGAATTCTGTTAGGAAGGGACCATTGTTACCTCCATTTTATAGACGAGGAAACTGAGGTCCAGAGAGAATCAGAAGCTCACCCATGATTACACAGGAAGTAAGTGGCAGAGCTGCAGTTTGAACCAGGCAGTCTGGCTCCGGGGCCAGTCCTCTAAATCTCACTGGAATTGGGGACACCAGGGTTCAGAGCTTGCCTCTGTCCCTTACTTGCAGGGTGACCTAGGGGAAGTTAAGTGAGAATTTGACAGTCACTGTAGTAGTGGATCACTGGAGACCCTAGCATGCTTCCAACACACTAGGGGAGATGAAGGTGAACCTCAAGAGATAATGGAGACATCCAGCAGTAAAGGCTGACAGGTAGGTAGCCAGGAAGGGGAACAGGTCAGAATTATAATTGTCTGGCATATTGAACAACAGCAAATCAGATTCAACAGCTAAACCATACTCTTTAAATTACTTAGTTGTATGTAGATACAGCTTCCTTATTCTATTGATTTGGACTCTGATTGGATGATTGGTTATGTGACTTGCTGGTGACCCACTATATAGGATCAGGGGAAAATGAAATGGAGGAGGGAGAAAGAGACTCAGAAAACTAAACTGTGTTTCCCAAATCAGTTTAAATGATTAAACTGATCTGGCACACATGTCACTATTCCTGATCCCCCATCCCAGGCAGACATTGATAATCAGTACTTTGTACCTCATCTCCACAGGACCCCGAGTCTTTCCTAACTGTTCTGTGCTCTGGACAGTCTCTACCAGTTGATCCTGGAGCTTTCGCCTTGCTCTCCCAGACTTCCACTTCATTCCTCTGGGGTATGGTCAAAGAAGTAGCAGGTGGCAAAACAGGAGACCTTTCTGTTTGAATGCCTAGGTGGTATCTTAGGAAACACCTTGGGGCTTTTTTTTTTTTTTGTCTTTTTTTTGTCTTTTTTTTGTCTTTTTTCGTGCCCAGCAACGGATCGCAACCCTCAGTGTCGCGCTGGTGTGTGCACATCAACTCCCCGAATGGATATTTGAATATTAGCCAGGGATTGAGTTATTTGGGACCAAACTCATAACTGTTGCTCAAAGCTCGTAGCTGCATCGGTGGTGGTATCGACACAGTACAGGTGAGAGCGTTTTGGTTTCATAGGGCAGAATTAGGCTTAAAGGCGCAATTAGAAGTCAGAGCAGTGCCATCTACCAGGGAGTCTGAAGAGGAAGAGCTATTTTGAAATTGATACCTCTTAAAAGAGAATGGCATTGAAATTGGCCTAGTTAATATGACTAGTAAGTTGGCTCATAATGAAGGAGGGGAGAGACTTTTGGAAAGAGCATTCTACCACCCCAAAGACCAGTCAAGTGGCCTCTGAATGTCTGGGCTTCTAACTAACACTCAGACCCTAGTACAGGATGTGTTTGTGACGTGAATGCATCTCACAGCAAGCAGTTGAAGCCCATTCTTCAGCTTTACTTTACTCCTGCTGGAAGCTGAAGATGCTTAGCTTTGAATTTTTTCCCCCTGAATACCAGAGAGTATTATTACCTTACAGTGATACATAGTTTTCCAGCTGAACAAAAAAGAGGCAGGAAATTTCTGTTTTTTTTCTTTAATGGTCTTCAGCCCAAGATCATCCTGGAACTGGGGACTGTTGGGGAAGTAGGATGTCAGGAGAGCTGTCAGTCATCGAGAGCTGGCCAGACCCTTAGAGATCACATTGTCCATCCTTTATGATTGACAGAAAAACCAAGGCCCAGGTGGAAAGAGTGACTTACTCAGGATCACACAGCATATTTGTTTTCTAATGCTGCTTTAACAAATTATCACAAATTTAGTGACTTTAAAAATGTGTATTATATTATAGTTCTGTAGGTCAGAAGTTCAGTATGAGTCTCGTGAGAATAAAATCAAGGTGTCATCAGGCTGCATTTCTTTCTGGAGGCTCTAGGGGAGAATTGGTTTCCTGCTTATTTGAGTTGTTGGCAGAATTCAGTTCCTGTGGCTGTAGGACCAAGGTCACTGTTTTCTTGCTGGCTGTAAACTGAGGCCACTGCCTCAGTTTGGCTCATAGCCCCCTTCCTCCATTTCAAGTCAGCAACAGCGAATCAAGTCCTTCTTATGTCACACCTCTCTGACCCACTCTTCTGCCTTCCTCTTCACTTTTAAGAGTTCTTATGATTAGGTTGGGCCCACTGGGATATCATCTCCCCATCTCAAAGTTCTTAACTTTAATCACATCTGCAGAGTCCCTTTGGCCTGTGTTCTCATGGCTCTACCCTCTGAGTTATGCTTCTTTTTCCATATTCAAGGCTCTGGGGACCAGGGCATGGGCATCTTTGTTGGAGGTAATGGGGCATTATTTGCCTATCAGACACGTGAGGCCCACTTTGGGAGAGTGACTTTTTCAGGATCATACAGGGAGGCAGGGGATTTTCACCACCCTGGTTCTCTTGCAGTTCTCCCTAGGAGCCCCTTGACAGTCCCTCTCACCTAGAGTCTCCTTTGTCAGCCCAGCACACAACAGGCACTTAGTCACTGGCAAATGACAATGATAGATGGTAGTGGCTTAAACAGGATGCTGTGGATTTGGCCTGAGTTTTCTCCTCTGCTGGCTCTCTGTTGGTTTCTAAGACTCTGTGATTGGCTGGGTCAGACGGTACGTGCAGTCTTGAACGGCTCTGGCTGCATGCTGATCTCTTCAGAATATCCTGGTGTTTTTCCATTTTTCCAGCCGTAGAGGAGCAGATAGAAACTCAGGCAGGAAACAAATCTTTAGCCTATCAGGAATTTTGGAGGAAACGGGCCAGTAGGGGTGAAATGAGAACCAAGTGTTCCTCAGGGACCTGGGGTCATTGGAGAAAGGCCTTCAATTTGACTCACTTCACATTTTTGATAGTTTGTGTGTCCTGAGCATTTCTCCCTCTGGCCTCTTTTTTTGGAACAAAGGTCCCTGGTGAAATGACTCTGTGCTTGGTCGGTGAATGT